GGTGTGTAGTTGACAAACAAATTGTGGAGTGGGTTAAGGAGGGCATTATCCAGCTAAGCTCTTCGGAGTATGCATCGCCAATCGTGCTGGTGACGAAGAAGGATGGTAGCAAAAGGCTTTGTTGTGACTACCGACGCCTTAACGAGAAAATTATGAGGGATAATTTCCCAATGCCGCTAATGGACGACGTCATTGAGAGACTGCAGGGAGCGCGGGTATTTACCACATTGGATTTGAGAAATGGATTCTTCCATGTACCAATCGAGGAAGACTCAAGAAGGTACACGTCATTCGTCACCCATCAAGGTCAATATGAGTTTTTGTATGTCCCGTTTGGAATTTCAAATTCCCCGGCTGTCTTTACGCGATACATTTCCGCAGTATTTAGGGAGCTAGTAAGAGATGGTAATTTACATGGACGATTTAATAATCCCATCCATGGACGTAGGTCAGGGTATAGCTAAATTGAAAGTGGTGTTAGGCAAAGCGGCTGAGTATAACCTGCGTATCAAATGGGAGAAATGCCAGTTTCTGAAAGGGTCGATTTCTTGGGTTATATAGTGGAGAACGGTACAATACGGCCATCAGACGCAAAAACTCAAGCGGTAAAGAATTTCCCGAGACCTTCAGATAAGAAGTCGGTTCAAAGATTTCTAGGTCTCACGTCATATTTTAGGCGATTTATTGAGGGGTACGCAGTGATCGCCAAACCACTGTCAGACTTGTTACGTAAGGATGCGACGTTTGTTTTCGGTGAAGAGCAGCAGGCAGCGTTTCAGCAGCTAATAGCAGCATTGGTCAGTGCACCAGTCCTGCGACTGTATAACCCCAAGGCACTAACCGAGGTACATACGGATGCTTCAAAGCACGGCTACGGAGCCGTACTCCTACAGAAGGACAGCGAGGACCAATGTTTTCATCCAATCCAATACATGAGTCGAAAGACGAAGCCAGCAGAGGAAAATTACCATTCGTATGAATTGGAGGTGCTGGCAATTATTGAGGCACTAAAGAAGTGGCGAGTTTATCTCATGGGGATGCATTTCAAGATTATAACCGACTGCAACGCGTTCGCGATGACCATAAAGAAAAAGGATGTTCCATTAAGGGTGTCCCGCTGGGCGATGCTGTTGCAGGATTTCGATTACGAAATCGAACACCGGAGTGGATCGAAAATGCGTCACGTGGCTGCTTTAAGTCTAGTTGTGTGTTTGATGTTAGAGGACTCGTTGGCTCACAGGCTTAAGCAGGCTCAGCAAGAGGATGATTGGATCCGGGCGGTACGCAAGGTGTTAGACAAGTATACATACGAGGATTTTTATTTCAAACATGATTTACTGTATAAGGACCCTGTAAGAGAGCTCATAGTTGTGCCTTCACTAATGGAGGAAGAGATTATACGGACAGCGCATAAACAGGGGCACTTCTCAGTGAAGAAGACCCAGGAAGCCATTAAAAAGAACTTTTTTATTCCACAGATTGCCACAAAATTAGCCAAAATTGTCAGAAGCTGCGTTGAATGTATCATCACAGATTCCAAACCTGGACGGAAGGAAGGATTGTTGAACCCCATCGGCAAGGAAGATAGGCCGTTAAGCACACTCCATATCGATCATGTTGGCCCTATGGAACAAACGAAAAAAGCGTACAATTATATCCTTGTGGTAGTCGATGCCTTTTCTAAGTTCGTGTGGTTGTACCCTACGAAGAATACCGGTGCCGAGGCAGTCGTTGATCGCCTCCCAAAGCAAGCTGCAACTTTTGGTAATCCCAGACGTATAATCACTGACAGAGGAACGGCATTCACGGGTAACCTTTTCAAAGAATATTGTACAAAGGAAGACATAGAGCATTTGCTAATAGCAACGGGGGTTCCACGAGGCAACGGACAAGTTGAGCGCATACACCAGATTGCTGTACCGATGATATCAAAGTTGTGCTACGAAGAACCGGGAAATTGGTATAAACATGTTGGTAGGGTACAGCAATACATTAACAACACACCGACGCGTAGTACAAAACATTCTCCCTTTAGGATTTTGACTGGGCTAGAGATGAGGGTTACGGGGTTGCCAGATTTTAGTGAATTAGTAGAGAACACAGCTGTAGAAGAGTTAGATTCCGAACGCGAAGTGACACGCCAACAAGCAAAAGAAAATATTGCTCTTATACAAAAGGAAAACAAACGTAATTTTGATGCCAAAAGAATAGAGTATAAACCAAACCAATTAGTTGCCATTAAGCGTACTCAATTTGGGAGCGGGCTCCGGCTAAGGCCCAAGTATTTCGGTCCATATAAGATTTTGAAAGTATTGGCTCATGATAGGTATGAAGTAGAGAAGGTGGGCGAGAGTGAGGGTCCTAGGCGCACCACTACCGTCGCTGAATACCTTAAACGCTGGGAGCCATCGTTCGAGCCGAACGATTAGTGAGGAGGGCCTAATGTGGGATTTGCATACGCTAATAAGCAACCCTAAACTGCAACTCTGACTCGACGAACGAACGAGCGACAATTTAACGAAAGAGACGAGGACAGTGACAACGCCAACGAACAACGGGCAGTTGAAATTAAAACCTGACGCGCGACACAACTTAAATTTTAAGATCTAGTGTAACTTAATTATAACTATTAATAAACGAACATTAAACCGAAATACCCGTCTATTAATCCCGCATGTATTTTTGCGTAGAATTCCTTTCTGCGTAGGCGGCCTTCGGCCGCACTTAGGGATTGTAACCCTCAGGCAGTAGAATTCTCCTTTCTGTGTTGCCAAAGAAGGGGGGCTGAACACCTTTTGCAGAGAACACCTTTCTGCGTAGCCGGCCTTCGGCCGCACTTAGGGATTATAAACCTCAGGCTGTAGAATTCTCCTTTCTGTTTTGCGAAGAAAAGGAGCTGAATACCTTTTGCAGAGAACACCTTTGTATATTTTTAATGCTTACTGGGTTATATCCTATCTTCTTTTGTCTCTCATTCTTTTGCATATTTTGGAGTTTGACAGCTGAACACCGCCATTTAATTTGCATATGCAACCAAAGTCAGACGCGTGATTTTGAAGGTGTTTTTATTTAATGAATTGTGATTAATTGATTTATGTTACAAGTCGTAAAGCAAGTTATAACTAATCGAGTGAAGTGTAATGTGAAGGGGAATACAAAAATGTATTGGTGAAGTGGATGCTTTAAGGAGAATAGGAGTGATAAATGTACGCTAATTTCGGAATTTTACAAAAAAGGACATATTTCAAACCCAATTTGTAAATAAACTAGTGACCAAAATTTACAAAAGTGAGCGTTAAAATAATAGGTTCATTCCTTATCTTTTTGGACTAAAATCTGAAAAGTGTCAAAATGCCAGACCGTAAGCAAAATGCGCTCACTAAAAGAGAATAACAGGAAAAGTAAAGGAACCCAAAAAACAAAATTTTTAGTCCAAAGAATGGCAACAACAAAACTAACGTCAAATAAGAACAGAAATGTATGTACAAAACACATTCACACAAGCACAATAAACACTTGCTGTATCAATTATTTTTTGTCTCCTTCCAATTTCAATTAATTTCTTTTACTCTTTAGATTATTCTCACTTTTATTCTTTAATTTCCGTTAATTTAAATTCAGTTGAGTTTGACACTTTTCAGGATTTTGCCAGAAAAAATTCTTCTGACTAAATCTGACTACTTCGGACTGATGAGAGTCACTCTCACTGACTGTTGCTCTCATTTTTGCTGTCATTTCCGAGTTAAGGAACGCTTTTTGGACTAAGGCAAGGCGCATTAATTACAGGTGATAGCGATAGAAGCTATGCTTCTTCTTATGAGCACGCTTGTGTCAAATTATCGTCTGCTTTGCTATATTTACATATCCGCGTACACACACACATATACGTATATATATACCCTGCAAACAAATGCTCCCGAAATCTTTAAGTGTCGGAAATTTGTTACGATTCTTTTAGAAATCTGTAAAGAAAAACATATGAGGCGGTTGATAAGAACTAGTAAAGAAATTTCTGTACGATTTCTTAAAGAAAATTCTTAAAAAAAATTGTGAAACCTTTCAGAATTCTATGAAATCCTGGTATGCAGGGTATACATATACACACGAATATGAGTAGATAAAAAAGATGGTGATGACACAAGGAGTTCATACCAACAGTAAATGTTGTTTTTGTACCATTGCTACAACCTGTAGTTGTTGAATCATGGACTTAGGTCGGTGTTATGCAGAAATTTTGTTTGGCAAACTGCGTGCAATTGTTGTTGCAGAAAACTCGGAGAGAGCGAGTTTGGCGACTCTCACAGCAAACTAATTTTGTTTGGTCAAACTGCAGCAAATTCGGTGTTGTCATATACAAAAATTTTAAATTCTGCACGTTATGTACATCTGAAATTCTCATTTCGTGTTGGCAATAGCCATGAAAACCATAATGAACGTGCAACACTGTGCCAAACTCGACATAACCACCTCCGAGCAAACTAAGCAGCCGCCATTTAATTTGGCAAACAAAAGTTTGTCTGCATAACACCGACCTAAATCTGACTACTTCAGACTTTTTCTGGGAGAAAAGGAACGCTCCTAATGCGTACACCCTTGACTATAAGTGTGTGGAATTTTTTTTTGTATGTTGTTGTTGTTGTAGCAGCATACAAATTCCCCAAAGACTTTTTGGGGAGTGTTGCTGGAGTGACAGTCCTTGGCCAGATATAAATCTGGGTCGTTCCGGTTACGTAGACCCGACTGTCGTTGTATCGGGCCACCCCTTTGGACGGAATAGCCCGAAATAGTTGTGAGCGCTGCTACTAAACCCCACCCCAACATTCGCTTTCGCAAAAGCTCCGCATCGATTATTGCGAATGCGAATGTTGATTTTAATGCGGAAGTTCGCACCAACCCTGATATGTATGTACCTACAAAATTTGGCCAACCATCCCGAGCCATATGTATACATATATCTATATGTCCCTTCTCATGCGCACATTTCACTAACTTATAAATACCTTAGCTTCTAATCCATTTGGTGCGTACAAATCCTTGCAATAAAATATTATAACACTAAACCAATCGTAGCTGACGTTTTCATCACGTTAACTAGAGCTGTAAAACCACAATACAACCAGTAAACAATAATGATGTGCTGAATTGCCGGTACCCAATACTCGGTACCCAATACTTCAGAAATATCTCGGTACCCAATACCGATTCTATATATAATTGCAGCCTTTTGTCATAATTTTCAACAGAATATCTGTCAAAAAAATTGCATAGACTTTATTTTGACTATGAATATGCTTCACAATTAGTACGTATAAGACGATGCTTCCCAAAAGTTGAACAATTTGTACTAAGCAATGTGGAAACCACATATCAAAACACTCTCTTCGCCTTCTTGCTATTGTCGCAACAGTAAAATTCCGTTTTATCAGTTTCCACCTTCGTAGATCTAAAATTTTAGAAAAATGCTTGGACGGATGAACGAAGTCTTTCAGGCCTACAAAGATAACATCGTCCGAATCATCTAGAAAAAAATGTTTCAAATAAGGAAGAGTTTCTCTGCATTGTGGCGATGGAAAATGGAAATTAAAACCTCTATTAGCCTCTATACATGCGTTCTAATTGGAAGCCTAAAAGTTTTGGTACCGAGTATCGAAAGATTTGGATACTTATTAAATCGGTACCGAGTATCGATCAATACTTCAAAGCAAGGCGAATTAATAGTTGCGATCCCGTACGAGTCCGGACTAGTCAGAAATAGTCAGAATCAGTCATGAACGAAAGACACAAGATCACGCGGGACGGAAAGAACGAAAAAAGTTATTTTCTAGCTGCCGAAATCTCGACGCCATCTTTGCTGTAAGAAGTAAACAACGAAGAGAACGGAGAAAACCGCGAAATTGTTGAACGCATGAAAAATCATTTTTATTATGCAAATTCTTCTAAAAATCATGCCGTTGTGTTAAATTATTCTTTATCTTATGTGTACACACGTTGTCACAAGCGAAAATGAAGAAAATTGCAGTAAAAAGCCACCACCAAATTGTAAACAACGAAGAAATGTAAATAAACGGCTAATGTCAAAATCGTTCAACTTTTTTCCTTAATGCGATTCTAACGGGCTACTCTCCTGCCCGCGTGATCTTGTCTTTTTGGTTCATGAGAATCAGTCAGATTTTACTGGAAATCGATCCCGTACTCGGTTCTCTGACTATTGAGAGGACAAAAAAGAGAGTAAATACGGTTCTCTCTCTGTCAGAAGTTACCAGTTTTAACCCGAGAATTTTTTGCTGGTAAATTCTGGTAAATGTGTCAAACGATCAGCTGTAGGGTGTTTGGCAACCGTATTCCTCGGACTCGGACTAGTAAAACTGTCAAAAACTAAAAATTCGCTCAGAGCAAGAGAGTAACATTGAAAAGTACGGGATCGCTTTCTAGTAAAAAATGGTAACTTCTGTCAACTTCAACATAACCTCTAAATTTTGGTTGTAAATTTTTGCTTATTTTGTATGTAAACACACTCAGCTCACACATGTAAATATCCAAAAATACTTTCAAATTCGTTAGAATCCACTTAAACAAGTAATTAAATACTTTTCAACATGAATTAGCAGAGTGCACTTTTCTTTTGTTTACAATTTGGCTGCCAAACACACTCCAGCTGATCGTTTGACACATTTACCATAATTTACCCGCAAAAAATTCTCGGACTAAAACTGGTAACTTCTGACAGAGAGAGAACCGTATTTACTCTCTTTTTTGTCCTCTCAATAGTCAGATAACCGAGTACGGGATCGATTTCCAGTCAAATCTGACTGTTTATTTCGTTCAAAAATCGATTTTCATTAAAGATGGTAGAAAGCATTACGTTTTCTAAACGTATAAAGAATCGCTACTTAAGCGTGAAATTAAAGCATTTTATTTTTTGTGAACGAAGCAATGAACATATGAAGAGAAAATAGGTATAAGCGCAATTGCTTTAATTAGCTTAAAAGGATGCTTTACGCAAGATCTTAATATACATCAGAGACCGGCTTTGAGTACTTATAAAATTAGTATACTTATTCATGATCCATAAAAATTAATGCAAATGAGCACTTACACTAATTCAAAAAATGACTAAGAGTAATTTCCACCAAAACAAGAACACACTCAAAATATACTAACTCTTATTTGTGGCGGCAATTTTTGTCTCTTTCGAGTATAGTATACCCAGCTGGATTTTACTCATTTGGTCGAGTGAGAGGCTGAAAATAATTTCAATGAGTTTAATATTAGGTTTGTTCGTCGAGCAAAAAATTTGTACGAATTTGTACGAATTATCACGATTTTTGCCCAAATCGCGTTCGTGCAGACCAAAAAATTATCCAACACTCAAAAATTGTGAGAGCAAAGTGACAGTTCTCTTGGAGAGAGGTTGCAAATTCTTGCTGGAAAAAATTTTGCCAGCAAGAATTTGCAAACACGAAATACATGTGGTTGTGGTGCATGGTTGCATTTTTGTCTACAATAATTTGAATAAATTAGTTCGTTAAATTTAAAAATTTATAAACACGAGCGATTTTTTTATGAAAAAAGGGAGTAAATAATTGTTGATATAATTAATTTAGTTAATTCCAATGATTTGAACTTAATTCGGCTGAAAAAAATGGTATTCGCAATCGGAATGCAATTTCAACCAGAGTCGATTTAAGAAACCCGACAGCTAGTACGATGAAGAAATTGAAATGTATGTTAAAGAAAGTCAGAACAACAAGAAATATACATGTATATCCTGTTTTTGGCCATCCGAAAGAATTTTAAAAATTTTATACAAATTTTTTATATTTGAAATACAACCGTGGACGCCAGCTGGCAGGGAAACTTGCAAATTCCTGCAAATTTGCGTTCGTGCAGAAATTTGCAAGTTTCTCAACATGAGAAAGAATTTTTTCTTACTCTCTGATATTTTGAGTGTTGGATAATTCTTGCTGGATTTTCGACGAACAAAGCTATTATTTGTGTTCTGCATGCAAGCGTACTGTCCTTATACA